CAACGGTAGCATCTGCTTCTAGTGCCTGGTTTTCCTCTTTTGGGACTTCTGCGTCCTCTACTTGCGGAGGCTGCGCCTCCTCTCCGGTCTCTTGCACCGGTTGGTCATCTTCGGCACGGGGCCCTGGGGTACCACGGGGCTCTGACGGCGGTGCGCCATTATTGGCGTCCATGGATGTGGGCTTGCTTTTTAAGGCTTATGTGCACTCCCTACCGCTTTGTAGTACACTTCTCCATTACCAAAGTCACATGGGAAAACAAAGCCAAGTGGAAATTCTTCGATGCAACAGTCACACCGAATGTCCTCACACATAATCAATTCTGTTTTTTTTCCAGCTTTCTTCTCTCTGGTCCAACGCAGTACTTCTTCAGTTAAACGCACCGCGCACGGATGCGTGACTCCCACTCCAGCGATAGCGGCGCAAAGAATAAGAATAAAAAAAGCGAGAGATACACCCATCCATTCTATCCTTAGTCGCTTTTCGCTACTGTGCATTCCGCCGCCGTCTGTTCTCGTGCCTCTAGTAGAGCCAGCTGTCTCTGAATGAGCTTCTCGTTTTGCGTTGCATAGACCTCGTACAAGCCGATGCCGACTGCCGCACTCAGCACAAGGCCACTGACGGCGCGAATCATAATAATGAGCACCGCCGCCGCGGAAAACCCGCTCCAGTTCGCGTCTACACACGCACTGCCTATTCACCTAACAACAACGCCCTTTTTATTGCGGTCCACACATGTTTCAGTCGAGGATAAATAAGATGAGAAAAACAACCAGAAAAGTATTAATACTAAAGAACCACGAACACTTAGACGCCAAGGACACAAGGACGCAAGCCAGAGGCAAGGTGGGATGCGCGGGGAAGTGAACCCCGACCAGAAAAAAGCTGAGAGTTCACTTTAGCACCGTAGGCTAAAGCAAAAATAGAAACTGACACAAAGTGCAATCCCTTCCTCTTTCTTCTTTAAGCAAGTGACGGAATTTATGAGCTATACTTCCTCTCTTACCCCTTCGCCGATGGTTCTATACAGGCAACGGAGCGTCGCGAGAAGCTGCGGGGAGATCTCTAAGGAATAAGAAAAAGTTAGAAGACGCACAAATTCACACGCACAGAAACCGTTTCATTACGCGCTCCCTCCCGTGTTAAGCCACTCCATCAGCTCCTCGTGAAACTTCGAGGCGTCCCGTAGGTCAAACACCGGGTCACCCGTCTCCACTGCCTTCACCACATCAGCATTGTGGTAAAGGTTGCTGAGTGCATCCACCGCCTCCTGTCGCTCAAAAACCAGGGATGGCGGCAACTGCGCCAGGGATGGCGGCGGGGGAGACGCGGAATGCTCCTGCGGGGCGGGCGGTGGAGGTGGTAGGGCAGCGTTCGTCCTTCGGTTCGTTGCGTCCTCCGCACGCGCCTGCGCACGTGCCCCCACCCATTTCCTCGACGTCGATTGCTGCGTTGCCTTAGACATTTTGGAACCGTCGCTTCCCTCAGTTTCCCTTATTAGCTCTTGTCGTTGCTGCTTGCTTGCTACGTGTCGCTTAGCTTACTTTCATCCACAGTGAGAGCAAGAGAGAGATAACACCAAAGCAACAGGGCACACAGACAAAAAAAATGTTTGTGAACCCGCTCACAAGCCACAAGCCCACCGCACTCTACGCCAATATGTATACACCCATGTGGAAAGTGACGCGATCATTCGCTGTAGGCAAGCAGTTGTGCTTCGGGGCCCACCCCATCACACACGCCGCCGCATCAAGATACCCAAGCGGCAAAAAAAAAACCATTACGGGACGCCCAAGCATCGGGGGCGCTGCAGAAGCAGCGTCGTTTACGTCGTCTGTTTCTCTCGTTAAACGCTGGTTTTTCCTTCATAGGAGCTCCTAATAGAATTGCTCTCAATACTATCCTTTCGCTTGCGCGTTTCATTCTTTTTGTTGTCGTCTCCTTTTCTTCCGTGTCGATGCGCATTCTCTCCTTTAAACGACACACTCGCAGTCAAGTGCGGAATCATTAATACTGACATATGGCATTGAACGGGGGAAAGTAGAGGAAAACACGAAAAGAAAAGGGAAGGCATTCGTGAAGAAAAAGTTCATGCCTCTCACACATGCGCAAGCCACTGCATCCACGTCGCTACCTCGCTGCGAATATCGGTAAGCGCCAAGGCATCCACAGGGTCCACACGCTCTTCACACTTCACCTCAGCCAACGCAGCAGGAAGCTTTTCATCGATTAGCTTGTCCACCTCGGTCGCACTTAACATTCTTGCGGCGCCTCCATCCCCGTTCCCTCCCCGTCCCCCACCGCAGACGGAACGTAGCCGTGGTTCATACAAGTCTATCCGCCAACGAAGATAACCATAGGCACCGCGACGCCGTTGGGGTGAGGCGGCAAACAATTGTCTGCCTGCTCCGTCTCCGCCCCTTCGTCCCGAGGACCGACCCGCCTTGATGGCGCCGCTGTGGTCACTGTTGCTGGTTAGGAAATACTCCTTCGCCGCCGATGATAGAAAGGCACCCGGTAACAGCGGAGTACCCCACGGCGATGTATTTGCATCAGCAAGCATACTTTCACTTAACATCGGAGTTTCCCGCCTCCACTTTACCCATAAATCATAAGCAATGCGCTTCCATTCGTGAGGCGTCTGAGCAGAAGTTTCCTTCTCATTCCTTTTCGCATCATCGATGAAAGGCACCGCTGTTGTCAGGAGAAGGATACGCTGAAGTGCAGGGGCCGTTTTCTCAGACTCTTGAAACGCTCGCCATTCCAAACGCACCATCTCGCTTTCCATTTCTCGCCTAGCCATATTTTCCAATTCCGCTGCATTGACAAAATTGATCGAGTTGGGAGCCGTTTTTGGCAATGCCTTACGAAACAATTCAAAGGCGCCCGCCTCTTTTAGCTCTTGCAGTTGGTGAGCATTGAAGGAGAAAATGCTGTCCTCTGTAGCGGTCGATACTGGGGCCCCCGGGGGCCTTTTGTAGCGCTGTGTTCCGTTGCCCTGCGGCTCTGAAGAGGCACTTCCAGGTGCAAATGAGATGGCCGGATGACTAGCCGAGAGAGAGGCAAATAACTCACCTTTCCCATGCTCAGCTGCAACACGACCCACCGTGAAGATTGGGGGCTGGGGAATTGTGGGCTGCGTCGATGGCGCTATATTTCCATGGACGGCACGCGCCAAGGACGCATTCGAGCGCCGCAGCATTGACGTTAGTGGCGCATCAGGCCAACTAAAACAGTACGACTGTTCATCGTAGAGCAAACCAATCTGTAGCTTGTGTTCAACGTCTACGGAGCGCTCTTCTGCCGCATCAAGAGGTCTGTATCGCTTTCTGAGCATGATGCACGACTATGCATGACCTTTTCTCCTGTTCTTTTTCTTTATGCTTTTGGGTTC